TACTACTTCTATTAGCTTCCATATGGCATAAATGAGATGGGTGTGGCCAGTTGTATACCTCTGCTACTATTGAAGGTAACTCAAAATGCTTATATCTCCCGTCATGAATGGTAAATAATGATAGTCTTTATTAACTGGGCGCCTCGTACCCTTCTTCACCTTGCTTCATTTACTTGTTGAGACTTGTACTATCTTCTGAATTCTCATTGCCTTTCACCATAGGGGTGGATAGATATCCTTGCCTTAAGGCTCTTTATCAAGAGGCTTAAACGTTTTAGTACACACATGATCTACTGAAAACCTTACATTTTCTCATCATAGGCATTATGAAAAATCAAGTTCCTCTGACTCAACTCTTCCACAGCTATATCTCTTACCAACCGCCTTTCTGAATATAGGCATCGTTGTATTACGAATAGGATATAGTTTAGGAAATTGAGTTCTTACAACTGAGCTCTACCACACGATATAGAGTAAGAATAAAGAGTGACAATCATAAATGCCTTGTAGCCTCTTGCTTATAAGTGTGGTGCACAACACACCCATAAATAAGACTCTACTAGACACGGCTTGTAGACTACCTAGGACAGAACTGCTCTGATACCACTTTTGTCACGACCCAAACCGATGGGCCACGACGAGCACCCGGTGCCTTAATCAACCGAGTACTACCATAACATATCTTTCTTATTACTATCATCATATACACATGACATACGGGCCTAATAGGCCAACATCATCATTTATAAACTCAAAATATAGGCCGACAAGGCCGTACAATCTTTCACGTACACGACATATGTCTACAAGTCTCTAAGAGTACATAATTGTCATAAAGGTCGGGAAAGAGCCCCGCCATACCAAACCATACACATCTAAATCATACTGGCCAAACAAGCAACTTCGGAGCAAATGGAGTGCACCAATATCTTCTACTGAGCTGATCGTCTACTTGGAGGACTCTCGACCTGTCTATCGAGACCTGCGGGCATGAAACGCAGCGTCCCCAGGCAAAAGGGACGTCAATACAAATAATGTACTGAGTATGTAAGGAATAAAAATCAGTAAATAATAGACATGAGAGAAACATGGAGTAAAAGACTCGACATGTACATGTGCATATCTCTCTGAGTCATTTCATTTTTATAATGGCATGCATATGCGTATAAATATCATACCATGCATAGTATATGCGTTAATAGCATCATCAAGCCTCTGAGGGCATCCCATCATATCATTTTAGCCACTGTGGGCAAATCATCAATGTATACCAGTTGATCAGGTGGTGGTGTGTATATAACGTCGTAACCTTTTTCCATATCCCATATACACATATATACATATATACGTGTATATAACGCCATCTGGTCATGGGTTAACGTATATGTATAAATACATGAAATGCATAAGAAATATGTTAATAATATTTTCTCGGAATGTCATAAAAATAATATGCCTTAAGAAATACGTTAATAAGATTTTCTCGGAATGTCATAAAAATAATATGCATGTCGGATAAATTTTATCAAATACGTATTTTTCTGAGACCCATGAACAGAAGATATAATAATAATTCACATCGGGCTATATACTGTTCAAAGCTCAATAATATTTTATCTTCTTGCTTATTAATATCGTTACTACTGCCTCCGGAAGCTTTGCTCCCAGAACCAGGATTTTTGTTGTCTTATCTCGATTTCAACGCTAATTATTACATTCTTATTTAATTTATTTATCATTTTGGGATCAAATCGATTTGCTTGGCTATAAACCATGTATAAATTCAACTGTACCATTTTACGAGTAAACAGTTTAGCGCCCACCGTGGGGCTTAGACAGTTGTGTAATTGAGTTGATCCTCGCATTTATTACTAATTCGTTTGATTCTTTGTTCTTAGAAAAAATCATAGAAAATGGTTGATAACGATGTCAATATCGCACACAATATTGAGGCCCAAGGAAATTAGCCTCAGCATGAAGATTCGATCAGTGATACTCGCAACGAAGGGGATGAGGCCATGCCAGTCCATGGCTGGAAATAGCCACGACATGTTCGAGAGGCAACTCCTGATGATGCTGAAGACGAGCACGTCGCTGAAACAGTAAGGATCTTGATGGAGCAACAAAAGGCTATTATGGGTCACCTCTCATGACAGGATCAGGTCATGATGGAGTTGAGGAAGGCGTTGTATGGTGCTTCTAACAACGCGAATGGATGAGGTCCAGTACCTCCCGGTGCTCCCGCAAACCAAGCAACGTAGAGGGTCGACAACAATACCCCGAGGGGCGAAGTCGGCTTTGACAGGGACGAGGGGAACGACATCGGATTCTGTAACAACAATGAGAATAATCCCTTTAAAACCGAACTCGTGCAGTTTATGAGGGAAATAAATGCCTAAATAGATCAAATTTCGGGCGCACCACCGGTATTGAAATAACCGGACTCAAAGAAATACACCCAGTTGCCGTTCAAACTAAGTGTGGTACCAAAATTGATCCCGAAGCGGTTCAAGATGACAGACGTGCCGAAGTATGATGGGACTTTGGATCCGTAGGAGCACATCACCACCTATACAATGGCGGTGAAAGGGAACAATTTAGCTCCGCACGAGATTGAGTCGGTCTTATTGAAAAAATTCGGGGAGCCCCTCATAAAGGGGGCCCTGTCATGGTATTCTCTCTTGCCCAATGTCACGACCCAAACCGATGGGCCGCGATGGAAATCCGGTGCCTTACTCAATAGAGCACCACCGTAACGTATCTTTCTTATTACTATCATCATATACACATGACATACAGGCCTAATAGGCCAATATCATCATTTATAAACTCAAAACATAGACCGATAAGGCCGTACAATCTTTCACGTACACAACATATGTCTACAAGCCTCTAAGAGTACATAACTATCATAAAGGTCGAGACAGAGCCCCGCCATTCCAAACCATACAATTCTAAATCATACTGACCAAACAAGCAACTCCGGAGCAAATGGAGTGCACCAATATCTTATGTTGAGCTGATCGCTTACCTAGAGGACTCTCGACCTGTCTATCGAGACCTGCGGGCATAAAACGCAGCGTCCNAACATCGGGAATCAAGAATATAGACACCCCTAATATTTCTATGAATAGAGTCATTTATGGAAATTGTGCATTTGCTCGTTTCATATAGATCATGCCAAAAAGAAAGAAGGGATAGCCTTAACATACCTGGAGTATGGAAAACTCTATATGATATTCTTGAAAAAGGTTGCACCGTACTTCTTTAGAACCGCAAAATTTCTCCGTTGCTAAGACTCTAAACATTCTCGCTGGAATTTGTTGCAAGGAGAATTGCTAACGTTTACTTCTAGTTGTAAGGTCTTGGTATTGAGATTATTAGGAATGAGGTTTAGGATCTGATTGTAGTTATGGTTTTGTTTTGAAAGATCTTTGGAATTGAAGTGTTTTTGTAACACTTCACGTTGTTGAAGTGTTTTGGTAACACATCATTTTGCCACCTATCAAGAATGACTAAGAGTCATCTCTTTATGAAGTGGCTTGCTGCCACGTAGGGGTGGGGGGATAATTTTAATCTTATCCCATAACCAATTAATTAATTAGGTAATATTTCGTTACTCGGTAATCAACCAATTACCCGCATAATTAAGAATTACCTAAAATACTACTCCTTTTTAATACACTTTATACATCATACTATCATGGCCATATGGTACCTTGTATGGCACTAATCCATAAATATCGGGTATTATAGCTCGGACCGTATTTTATCCTAAATTGTCAAACTTCGAGGAATTTTATTTTCTTTGATTCGCTTACCCTCTCTCCTTCATGAATATTCTCATCACTTATTTGGAATAACATAATACTTATAATCCCAAAATAATCTCGTTCCTGAGCTTACGTCGATTAACTTACGACGAAATATTAGCGTACAAAAAATAATACGGGATGTAACATCTCATTTCCGAGCTCTCATCAATTTATTTATGGCGTGCTTTCATATACGAAAATGTAGGGTGTAACACCTGAGTATTCAATAAATTCCTTCGAGATGCTCGCGGATTCTTTTATCAAGGCCCATGTCGGGCCCAGAAAGGTACATGCCCGTAATGCTGACATATTCAAGATTGCACAAGGAGAGTCTGAATTGCTATCAGAATTCGTGACCAGATTCCACAAAGAAAGGAGGATGCTACCAGTCGTACCAGATGAATGGACAGCTGAAGCATTTACTAAAGGGATGAATCCGAGAAGTTCCGATGTTTCCCAGAAATTGAAAGAAAGTCTGCTCGAGTTTTAGGCAACAACATGGGTGGATGTTCACAACTGGTAAGAGTCAAAGATAAGAATTGAGGACGATCAGTTCGCTTACCCGACATCAACCAAGGGTCGGGACCAGGAGAAGAACAAGAAGAAGTCAAAGGATAATTTTGACACAGATCGATGGTCTTCAAGAGGTCAGTTTTTGCCTTATGAAATGGCCGAAGGATGCGGCAGAAGTTTTTGGTCGATGGATAGATTCACTACCGATAGGAGAGCTGATCGTGGCAGGAATAACAGATCATTGCTGGACAAGGAGATATCGGGGTTCCGAGATTCCTCCTGCCCCAGGCTATCCGAATAGAACTTCAACGTCAGCATAGTAGAGGTAGTGTTGGCCATGAGGAACATTAAGTAAGCATGATTCCTGAAGCCAATGAGATCTGATCCCAGTCAGAGGGATCCTAATTTGTGGTGCAAATACCATGGGACCAATGGCCATCGGACACGAGACTGCCGACATTTGCGCGAAGAGGTGGTGACGTATCTGAAAAACGGCCATCTCAAAGAGTTCTTAAGTGATTGGGATTAAAACAACTACGGCCGCAATCATGATAATGCAGAATCCTCAAAAGCGGGAGAAGACCCTCCTCGTTTGACGATCAACATGAATTTTGGGGGGGGGGGGGGGGGGGGGGACGAGATTAATGGTGACATTTTTGGCGGCAAAAAAAAATGAAGGTATCAGTAACCCCCAGTAAGAAACTTCGGGAAGTCACTGAGGACGACATTACTTTCACGGAGAAAGACGCAGATGGACTAATGCTGCCGTACAATGATGCCTTGGCAATCTCTCTTAATGTTGTAGATTTTAAAATTAAACGCGTTTTGGTAGACCTAGGAAGTTCGGCCAATATTATCCAGTGGAGAGTGCTGGAGCAAGCCAAGCTGACCGAAAGTATCATTTCATCTACAAAACTCTTCGCTGGATTCAATTTGGCAAGCGTGACAACCCAAGGAGAGATCCTGCTGCCCACAAATGCCGATGGGGTAATGAAGACGACCCTTTTCGAGGTAGTAGATGGCGATATGGGCTACAATATTATCCTGGGAAGACCATGGTTACCCGAAATGAAGGTTGTGCCATCAACATATCATCAATTACTGAAGTTCCCAACCTTCGAGGGAGTTAAACAAATAAGAGGATACCAACCGGCATCGAGGGAGATGGATGTAATCTCAGTTTGCAGTAGCAAAGAGAAGGAGCATGCGGCATAGCAATTACAGGAACCGACGTTTGTTCCCGAGCCGAGCGAAGTCAACCAGAGGGATAAGTCATTGGAATCCTATCAGATACCAAGATATTTTCAGGTACCAGAAGAAACGGACGCAACAAAGCCCACGACGGAAGAACTTGAACAAGTTGCGTTGTTCGAAAAGTTCTTGTAGAGGAAGTTCCACTTGGGGAAAAGACTAAACCCCGAGCTCAGGTCAGGATTTATAGAATTTCTTAAATTTAACATTGACTATTTTGCGTGGTCGCATGCGGATATGACAGATATTCCGTCAGAAGTTGCCATGCACAAACTAAGCCTAGATACTAACATCCCTCCGGTGAGGCAGAAAAAACATCATATTGCCGAGGTCATAAACAAATTCATCAAAGAAGAGGTAACCCATTTGCTTGATATCGGTTCAATTTGAGAGGTAAAGTGTCATGAATGGCTAGCTAATGTAGAAGTAGTTCCAAAGAACAATAATAAATTTCGCATGTGCATAGACTATAAGGATCTAAATAAGGCGTGCCCCAAAGACTCATTTCCATTGCCAAACATTGATCAAATGATCAATGCGATGGCCGAGCATGAGTTAATGAGTTTCCTCGATACTTAATCCTGGTATAACCAAATCAAGATGAACCCAAAGGATCAGAAAAAAACTTTGTTCATAACGAACTTCGGCACATATTGTTATAATGTGATGCCTTTCGGGCTAAAGAGCGCTGGAGCCAGTTATCATCGGCTCATAAACAAAATGTTCGAGAAACAAATAGGGAAATCCATGGAAGTTTACATAGATGATATGCTAGTTAAGTCTTTGAACACATGCAATCATTTTAAACACCTACAAGAAATCTTTGACATCCTAAGGAAGCACAACATGAAGCTTAACCCCGAGAAGTGTGCATTCAGAGTCAGCTCTGGTAAGTTCTTGGATTCTTAGTGTCGCAGAGGGGGATCAAAGTTAACCCCGATAAAATTAAAGCCATCAAAGACATCTCTAACCAACTATCAAGTGTGGAAGAGGTTCAAAGGTTGACCGGAAGACTGGCCGCTTTAAGTAGATTTATTTCCCGGTCTTCAAAAAAATGCCATCACTTCTTTTCACTCCTCAAAAAGAAGAACAAATTCGAATGGACTCTAGAATGCCGACAGGCTCTAAAGGATTTAAAAAGGTATTTATCGAGTCCTTCATTACTATCAAAATCGGAGGAAGGTGAACATCTGCTGATTTACTTAGCAGTCTCGGAGGTAACGGTAAGTGACGTTTTAGTCTGTGAGGATGAAGATACGTAATCTCCTATCTATTATGTTAGTAAAATTTTAATGGGAGCAGAAAATCGCTACCCGCATTTGAAAAAATTGGCCATAACTCTCATGTTCGTCGTTCGGAAGCTTAGGCCTTATTTCCAATGTCATCCGATAGCCGTGGTGATAACATTTCCCCTGTGGAATATCCTTCATAAACCTGAACCTTCAGGTTGGCTGGCCAAATGGACAGTCGAAATGAGTGAATTTGACATAGAGTATAAACCTAGGACCGCAATTAAGTCACAACTTTTGGTCGACTTTTTGGCCGATTTCAGTCCGGGACTGTTACCTTTGGCTTCCAAAGAAGCAGTGTTGGTGTCAAAATGACATCAGGAGTTTGGACTTTGTTCACGGACGGAGCTTCCAATATGAAAAGGTCCGGGCTCGGCGTATTGCTAATCACGCCTTCGGGGGAAACCCTAAGTCAGGCCTTAAGAATTGTTCCTCTGACTAACAATGAAGCATAGTATGAAGCTTTGATTGTAGGACTCGAGCTAGCCCGAATATTGGACTCTGAGGTCATAAAAATCAAATACGATTCCAATTAGTAGTAAATCAGGTTTACGAGATCTTCGAAGTCAAAGAGGAACGCATGCAACAATATGTAGCGAAAGTCAAGACTCTGCTCGCGCGGTTCAGGGAATGGTCAATTACTCACATCCCGAGGGAAGAAAATGCTGAGGCGGATGCACTAGCCAATCTGGGATCGTCCACCAAAATGAAGAGATCATAGTCCGGTACGGTCGTGCAACTTATGTATTCCGTATTGGACGTAGATGGCTATTTATGAAGTAAACACGACCAATTTGGTCTGGGACTGGAGAAATGAGATCATTAACTATCTCGAGCACAAAAAATTGCTTGAAGATCCTAAGGAATATCGGGTACTGCGCCCTAAAGTAGCTCAATACAGCTTCAAAGGAGGTCAATTGTACAGAAGATCTTTCCAAGGCCTATTGGCCCGATGTTTAGGAGCTTCCGAAGCTAATTATGTCATGAGAGAAGTCCACGAAGGGATTTGTAGAAACCCCTCAAGCGTGGGTTCCTTAGTGTTAAAGCTCATTAGGGCAGGATATTAATGGACCTGGATGGAACAAGACGCCAAAGCTTATGTTCAGAATTTTAATAAATGCCAACGCCACACATAGTTGGTACATCAATTAGCAGAGCTACTGAACTCGGTTTTGTCGCCCTGGCCATTCATGAAGTATGGAATGGATATAGTCAGTCCGCTGCCGTTGGCCCCCGGTAAGGTAAGATTTCTTTTGATTCTAACTAACTATTTTTCTAAGTGGGTTGAAGCAGGTCCTTACCAGAAAATCGGTGAGCGCGAATTGGTAGATTTCTTGTGAGAGAATATAATTTGCAGATTCAGGATATTAAAAGAGATAGCCTATGACAACATGCCATAATTTATAGGCGCAAAGGTCACAAAATTCCTTGAAGACTTGAAAATCAAAAGGATCACATCATCACCCTATCACCCGAGCGCAAACGGTCAAGCATATCAACAAACAAGGTGATTATCCAAAATCTCAAAAAGAGATTGGAAGCAGCCAAAGGCAAATGGCCCGAAGAGCTACCAGGAGTATTATGGGCATATCGAACAATATCCAAATCAAGCACGGGGGAGAATCCTTTCACTCTTGTATACGGAGCAGAAGCCTTGATCTTGGTGGAAGTAGAGGAACCTACCTTGAGATATTTCTGGGCAGACGAAGAAACAAACAACGAAGCATTGTTGGTCAAATTGGAGCTGCTCGACGAACGCAAGGACTTGGCGCATATAAGGATGGCATCCTAAAAATAGAGAATGGCAAGATATTATAATTGAAGAGACAACCTCCATTATTTCAAAGTAGGAGACTTGGCTTTAAGGAAAGTAACTCGGAACACCCAGGAGCTCAACGCAGAAAAGCTAGGTCCGACGTGGGGAGGCCCCTACCGGGTTTCAACTATCACCTGGAAAGGGTTATACAAATTGGAAAATCGAGATGGAGTAAAATTGCCAAGCAACTGGAAAATGCCACACCTCGAAAGGTACTGTTGTTGACGAGCGTCGCCTCTACTGAAAGTATATGATGCACTCTTTTTCCCTTCGTCCAGTTTTTGTCCCGATTGGATTTTTTTGGCAAGGTTTTTAATGAGGCAGCAACGGAAAGCATACTACGAAGGAAGCTTCGTTAGCAGAAATAAGACCTTTAAATGACAAGGCATGCAGGCAACGATCCACTACGGAGTAGTTAGATAGTCTTTTGCTCGGTGGCAAAGTTCCTACGGGAAGTAAAGTTAGCTATCGGGCAAAGGATTACCCGACCGTTCACAAGTGCAAGACACTAGGGGATTGTTAGATAATCTTTGGCTCTACAGCGAAGTTCCTAAGGCGAAGTGAAGCTTGCTATCGAACTAAAGATTATCCAACCATTCATTAGTGGAATCTTCAAAGGAGCAAGACTTCTAGTGTTCAAATTCGCATTATTCGCATTCGAACACTTGGGAAATGATATGAGAATATGGCAATGACTGCAACATCGACCGAGACTACGAAATCCGGGAACAAAGTTTTATCATCGGGACCGGAGACTACACGACCAACCCAGTAAAAACACATTGTACAAGTTAGCCATAGTAATGACAATTTCTTTTTAGCACAATGAATGCTTATGTACTTTTGAAAATGGAAGGAATAATGTAAAGTTCTTTTATTTTTATCTTGTTTCTTGTCCTATCGGTGAATTAATTTTATCATTTGAAAGTTAAACAAGTACTTTAAATGCAAGTGATGTAATGAACAGAAGACGCCCTCTTCTAGATCATCGTAAACATAATAGGGCCCTCTCTTATGAAACCCTTACAGTAAAGAGTTGATTTCGGAAGAACTTATGCCCTCCAAATGCTATCGGGAAAAAATACACCTGAAGCCTTGCATAACTCGACGCAAAAAAGTAAAACATGCACAATACTTAAATGCAAAGTACGCAAAGAGAAATACTTGCACAATACTTAAACGAAAAAGTACTTCTATATACAACAAACGTTCCAAGCAACACAAGTACAAAAGTATGGAAAAGAAAAGCAAATTCATGAAAAGAAAACAAAAAGCTAAGCTACTGCATCCCCAAAATTTGGAGGGAGAGAAGCATTTGTACCCCAGGAGAAGTAGTCGGATCCGCCGCTGGCTCAAGATCTTGGCCTTCACCATCATCCCATTTAGTTGTTTTTCAGTTCTCGAGAACTCGAAACCGGAACCAAAATAGTCAGTAACATCAGGTTAGACCGGGAGAACTCTTCGGGCAGTTGACTCCAGCTCACGGGCCTTGGTGATCTCGGCATTAAAATCAATGACACCTATTTTGGCCTCTTCCAAGGTTTTTCTCCTCATGCTATACATAGAGTACATTTTTTCAACAATGAGGGAAGATGCTCGGCGCTGAAGCTCTTCCTTAAGCTGTTCAAACTCAGTTGAAAGGTTATTCCTCTGAGACCTAATGGCTTGAAGGCTGACATCGAGGTCACAGATAGTGGAGTTAAAAACTTTATTATGCTCTATAACTCTCTTATGCCGCTCTTCCAACCGACCGTACTTCTCCTCAACAGCAGAAACTTCTTCAGCTTTGGAGTTCAAGGCTGCCTCCAAATTATTCAATCTTTCAGTAGAGGCAGCCTCATGATCGGATGTAGCAAGAA